CTAACTAGTAAAGCCCAGCAGAGCTGCAAACAATGTGAGGACATTGAAGAGGTCCTCACTTTACATCAAAGACCTCACTTTGATAGTAACTATGGCGCAAATGGTCCTCACTAGTAGAAACAAGTACACACACAGGTTTGTATTTCTATCCTTATTAGGACCGTTCATTGACTTCCATTCTTTTCCATTACATTTCTACAGTCTAACCCTGACCACAAACCCTAAGGCTAACCTCACAGGTACCTACCTGACCCTAAAACTAACCTAAACTCAATTCACACCTTGGTCCTAAAACCAACCCCCAACCCACCAATGGCATTTAAACCAAATGGGGACTCGACTTTTATCCCCAAATGCACCAGTTGTCCCCAAATGTAGGATTTTTATCTTAAATTTGCCCCCAAATGTCACCAAAGCCACCCCCCCGACACACACACTCATGTTTGTTCTTGAACCCCGTGGTGACCTTCCATTGACTTCCATTATTTTTTTTTAGACTTTTTAGCCTAAACCTGACCATAACCCTAACATTAACCTCACAGGTACTTACCTGACCCTAAACTTGATCCTAAACCTAACCCCACACCCAAAATTTGCATTTGGACCCGTGGGGACCAGACATGGGTCCCCACAATGCACTTCTGTCCCCATGAGGCTGCTTTTTTAAAGAAAAATTTCCCCATGTTGTAGGAAAAACCCATCAACACAAAACACACACCTACTTTGTCTCTCTATCCTTGTGGGGACTTTCCATCGACTTCCATTCATTTTTTTCTGGATATTTTATATCCTAACCCTGACCATTTACCCTAAAACTAACCTCACAGGTACCTACCTGACCCTAAAACTAACCTAAACYCAATTCACACTGTTAGAGCCRTTTTATGTTGTTTGTATTATTTTCACTTGYGGGCACTAGAGGGAAGAAAAACTCTACCTGTCACTGTATCCACACCCAATTTAARCCAGGTGCTTTAGTGCTCAGGTGTGATGACAMTGACAGAGGTAAACAGTTTTATGACCGTGTGAAGTGTGTGAAGCGTGTGAAGCGTGTGAACCATGAACTTTGAGTGTGCAGGTTAAACAGCCTCACCAATCTCTGGAAAAGGTCTCCGACTCTCTGGTGGTGGCTCCACTGCTGGACGCGGGGCAAAAGCCCGTCGTAGAACTCTTTATGGATCTCGTAGAGCTCAGGCACTTTGAAAAAGATGGTTTCTATCTGGGCCACAGTGAGCACGGGCTGTGATGTGGTGGCGGCCGCCTTCAGAGGTTTCATGGGCTGAGAGGAACAAAACAGAGATGTCAGCGAGACCTAAATATGCTTTGAGAGACATCTTACATGGCATCTACGCATACAAACACAAAATAATGAACAAGCTTGAATGCAGCACACAGAGAGGRGGATGAATTTAATGAAATGTCTCAATGAATAAGAAGAAAAACACATTAACAGATGCTTCCACGGTGGTGAATAATAGGTGTGCACTGAGAAAACATCAAAGTGAGAAGATTTGATGGGTTTATTATCGTGTTAAGAGTATTTTATTGATTCARTTTAGTCATTCACAGCACAAACTCCGAGCGTGACAGCTTGCAATGATTGTGTGAAACTGTGCATTATGTTATTTTTGAGGTTTGACTAAAATGGCAACAACTTTGTCCTCTTAAAGTTAGGGTTTTATGCAAAATCAACTTTTTYGGACTTTATATCATATTATGTCATTCTATCATCAAAAACATACCCAGAGTGTTGCTTTGACTCATTTATGCATGCTTGAGGAATCGTTAAATCTCCTGTGGTAGTCATGTGGAGCTGCCTAAACGCTTGCTGGTGCAAAGCTCCACCCATTTGCACAAAGCTCCACCCCGGATAGCTTAAAAATGGTGGATGTTCATGATTTCATTGCAAAACATAACTTCATAATGATCAATATTTATAGTTTCTTCACAAAAAGTAGCTTAACGTTGCCATATATGTATGAGAGGGTGACTGTAATACCAAGCTAAAACATCTTTTAAGAGCCTCTACTCACAGAAAACGTACTTTCATGCTCCAACGCGGGCTCATTTGCGTAAGATTCATCTTTGTCTTGAGTTGCCATTTTCCTAAACTGTTATTATATAATGTTGCTTCTTCTTTTATTATTATATATTTTTTTACAACAAAACATAACGCTTCTATGAAAAGTTGTAAATTGCATTAAGCATTTTTGGGAAGATGTGCTGAAGTGGGAGTGTCAGAAACGGTAGGAGGTTCCTAAAGACAGGCCAATTTCAAGACATTTAGATAGACTATGATGCAAAATCAAATTATATACAGAGTTTTCATAACAACTGAAGATAACTTAGTAACTGGACTGTGGTGTAGAACTGAACTATGACCCTGGAAAATACACAATACCATAACCATTTAAAAAATGATAAAACTGAAAGGTGGCAGGTGATATGCATTACTTCTATTAATACTTGGCCTTCAATATACTGTTATTTTTTCTTTCAGAAAATAAAGCTCAACATAATATATTCTGTTTGTAGTGGTTTTGTTCTTCTCTTCGTTTCTTTAGAAATTTTGTGAACTATGTCTCCAACAATGCAACGCTATTCTTAACGTCGTACGGCAAATTAAAAGACAGCAAGTGAACATGTTTTATCACTTTCTTGCTAAGAATAGCCGTGTCTTGCTTTGGGAAATGATGGGTGAATCAAAGCAGAAAAGTTGAAGGCCATGAGATGAAATCATTGAGCTGAAAGGTGACAACACGAGGGGAGGAAAGATGACACATCGTGACAACGTCACTGGTTTTCAGCAAAGGTTACCTTGTGTTTTTTAATTAAAGGAAGTGATGATATTGTGTTAAACACGTGTTCTCACCAGCAGCAGAGCCTCTAGGTGGCTGAGATATGATTCTTCTGTAGCCAAGATCCCAGACAGGACCCACTTCCTTGTCTCTAAACCTTTTTCCAAGTCACATTCAGTCTGCAACAACACAAATAATAAACATTTTTAGCAATCTCCATTAGACCATCTCATGCAGGGTTCAGTTCAATATGTTTTTTTTACCTCCTTGGCTGAGCACTTTTATTACATCTGGTCTAAACAAAACTGAAATAATATTAATTTATTTATTTTTAATCAAATGCAAGTGAGTTTGGAAATAAAAATGTCTTTGTCTAAACTCACCATGGAACTTTCAGGAATGCTCTTTGCAAAAAAATATATCTTTAAAAAAACATTCCTCCCTGGCTGCTACCCCATTCCCTTCAGCTGAGTCAAAGCTCACAGACATGAGAGAAAACAGAGAAACAAGAGAAATTCCTCAGGCTGTCTTGTTTAACCACGAACTCTGAAATAACTCAAACAGACAGGGTTCTCCCGTGGCAGAAAAAAAAAGGGGTTGGGGTATAAATATGTGCATGTATGAGACCAAACAAAGCTAGGAGGTCGAAGCGTTCAACTCCCTCAGGTTAGGAGGAGAAAAGAGAGATAAAAGAGGAAATAATGAGAAAAGGTAGATGAAAATGAAAAAGAAGACAAAGCAAACCAAATATAAAACATCTGGGGCCTCATGTATCAACAGTATGTCCGCACAAAAACCGTGCGTACGCCATTTTCCACGCAAAACTCCGGATGTATCAAAACTCAACTGAACGTGGAAATGTGCGCAGCCCCACGCTAACTCCAGGGCTGGCGTACGCACGTTTCTGTGGCTTTGGCTCCATTGGCGACACTTAGAGGTGATTCTGAGAAACTGTTCATGATGTAAAAATGATTATTGTTCACACCAGACACACATGATTTACAATTATTAGATCCACATGATTAACAATTATTACATCCACATGATTAACAATTATTACATCCACATGGACGCAGTTAAATAAAGGACGTGCAAAGTTGTGCCAAAAGTACATTTAACAGAAACGGATTCAGCCTTACTGGAGGATATAATAAATAGTGTAACACGCAGAGCTTTTATTTATAAACAGATAGAAATTTCTGATGACGAGTGGCTCATCAGCCGTTTTGAGGAAAAATCATTTTTTAGTTTGGCACTGCTGCGCTCTGGGATCTGCGCACCCTCGCCAGCAGTGATGTTTCATACTTTGCGTTTACATTGTTGTAGATTTCTCCAAAATGACACGTGGAAGGACACTTTATAACTTGTGAAAATGCTGTAAGTAGGAGAGCAAAAGCTGGACAGACAAACAGACTGCGCACAAAGGCTGCGGTGCGCGCAGCATTTGTGTGGACTCTCCAACATCACGTCACGTCATGTGAACTCTCTACTGAGGCGCAGAGACTCGTTTCTTCAGATCAGCTATGAAATAAACAAAGATCTATGTTCTACCAAACATTTAAGTTCCTCTGTGTTTACAGTAATTATGGTAATAAACTTGTGCACAAAGTTAATATTTTTAGAGTTAGAATGGATGGATGAGCCGGTTGCGCAACACAGCAGCGTGCGCGCGCACATACACACACACACACACACCAACACACAATCACTCGTTCTTTGCGTGATAAACATATTTTATTCCTATTTTTACTTAGGATTTTTTTCACACTCACTTTACATTAAATTCATTATTTTCCTGACTCTATAAATCATTTCTTATCACGCAGAGATCAATCACTCAAACGTGTCCTTCACACATGCAGGAAGTAATTTGCATCTGTTTAACATTTGTTAATGAAGGCATGTCAGGGGAGGTGTCTCACCCGCGCTCAGTTCCACGTTAATTGTGATGTACAAAAGAAGTGTGTGGATTCAGGCGTACGCACAGTTTGATACATCTGGAATTTTTTGTGCGATTTGACCGTACGTCAGGTTTCAGTAAGAAATCCACGCAAGTCTTTGTACATGAGGCCCCTGGCCTTTTAGAAAACAAAAAAGCCTCGTCATGTGTGTTACTTCTATTCCTACACATTCTCACTCCCGACTCATCACATATTGACGCTTTTCCAAGGTTCCCTCTACGTCCGATTTTGACGCGCCGGGTACCCCCCTCGCGTCAGTCCTTGCCGCCCGCGGCTTTTCCGGGTTGCGCCACCAGGGGTCTTTGGGTCGGGGGTCTGAGGTTAACATGAGGGATCAGGATTAATGGTTAAGTTTAGGTACTGGGGCCAGGGATAAGATGTCGACAGTGAATATTGGGTCATTTTAGGCTTTGAGCGTGTAGGCTGTGTCAATTCAGGGGCTGGGACCTCATGAGTGCGCATTTGTCGGCTGCATACATCACTGCCCCGCGCGGAGGACTGTCC